ATCTTGCGTTTTTTTTCGTTTTTTCATTATAACTCGCTTTATAATCAAGTATTTCAGAATCTGGAGATACCATTGAATTTTGAGGAGCCCTATCTCAGATTGCGCCATGCACTCGAATTTAGTCCCGAGAAAAAATTGTTGGTATGTGGTGCCCATTTCATTGTGTATTGATCGATTACTTTTTTTCCAGATTTCATGGTTCCTGTTCGATTTCGAGGTACATTCAGTTTTGTTAGTTCATCTGGAAATGCAAAAAATCTGATCTTTTCCACAAGGGCATGACGAGGAGGCATGTTCACAGCCACAGCACGGCGGAAGCGCTCGTCTACAAGCAAGTATGTCATCTTATTTCTACACACAAGTAAGCGTACTCTACAACAGTGAAGAGAATTTCCCCGCTACCTCCTCAGATTTCGGAAAAACCTTCGCTCAAACATTGGAAAATTTCACCAAATAGGCTAACTGTCCAGCCGAGAATTGATCTATGATTTCCATTTGAACACGAGAGGAGGAGATGTTGAGCGCAGGGACTACGTGTTAAGTCATTTAACGCGCCAAAATGGAATAGGGACCATGAAATCTGGAAAAATAATCGATTACAAGAATGCTGGGTTGCGAACAAAACTTTCGTCTCAGGCGGGACTGGAACTCGCACCTCTCGCTTCAAAAGTCTAGTCCCGCCTGGGGCGAAAGTTTTGTTCACAACCCAGCATTCTTGTGAAACATTCGCAAGGCGAACTGCGGCCAAAAACAGCAGTTAACAAACAAAAACAAGTCAAAAAAGTAACCGATCAGTTTACAATGAAATAAATGGAAGATGTTGAATACGATGGATAGCGCGTTCTGGGGCAACTGCTGAAACCCATCTCTCTGAGAACGATCATGATGCATAAGCGGGATTATATGCGCACCACATTCAAACAGTTTTTTCTCGAGCCAAAGCTCGAGTGCATGGCGCAATCTGAAGTGGGGCTTTTCCAAAGTTTAAAAGCACATTCTTATAGAACTCGACGAGCTGAGTTCAATGCTTTTTTCAGATTTTGAAAATCTCAATTTTGAACCGAGTTATAACGAAAAACGAAAAAAAACGCGAATCGCGTTTTTCGCGTGTTTTCGAAATTATATGGCGAGTACCGTATGTGCCACTGGAAGCCGCTAATCGCGAGCATTTATAAGGCCCGGCGCCCTCGTACTATACGTTCGAGTCTCGTGAAAGGAGCATTGGTAACCTTCGCACAGCTTCATTCTATTCACTGAATGGATCACTGGTGTAACCCTGATAAGATG